ATTTTGAAAATCAATATTAAAGAATAGTATCTTTAATTAATAAATTAATCCATCAAAACTTTAACAAAATTATATTCCTTCAATTTTCTCTATAAAATTGGCTTTTGACCAAACATAGCCTAAGAGATTGAGTCCTGGTACTTCATATTCCCCCATCTTCAAGTTGTACCAATTTTCTTAAAAAAAAAAAAAAACCTAAAATATTATATATGGAAAAAAAAAACAAAAATTACGACATCTTAATAATTAATGTCAAAATAATAATAAAAAGATTAAAATATTTTTAACAAATTAAATTACAAAAAAAAAACTTATTATGTGTATTTGAATAATTTTATAAAAAATCTTGATATTTAAACATTAGGTTATTTTTATTTTTATTTTTTAAGAAATAAAAATAAATATTTTTAAAAAATTATAAACGGCCTTAATTTATTTAAAGATAGGCTGATTTCTACCGGCTTCAATAAAATTGCCCAAACAATTTTAGAAGGGAAGTATCGTGAATAGTTGAAGACGGGAGCTTTATTTTTTTATATTATATTAAGGATTATATAATAGAAGACAATATTTTTTTTTCATTAATCTCTTTTTACTTATTTTTTAATTTAAATATTTTTAATTTAAAATTTAAAACTCTTAATTAATCAAAATATCTTCTTGATTGAAAACAGTAGAAGAAAAGAGTTAATAAGGAAATGTGGACGATATTTCCCAAAGAAAAAGAAATGTGGAAATATATGGTTCCTATTCCTCCCGCAATTTGCGGTATCTCTGGCCCTTTCATCTACAAAATTTCCTTGCAGTGGATGAATTAATGGAGATATATGCCGACCTTTTTTCTTAGGAAAAGACTAAAGAGAGGTCACGTTGGAATATTATTTTGACGAATGTGGCAGTGTTCACACACACCGTAGGAAAAGAACAAAAGCATAGGAGCTCATGACTGATCTCTCACGCCACTATGACTCGAGTCAAATGAAAGTAACCAAGGTTGAATTGTTTGGTTTGATTTTCTGGAGCTGTGGAAGTTTGGGTTCCATTAATTAATTATTGTCACTGTTAGCAATATAGTTCCAGTGGACTAAGTCAGGCTCGGTGGGTAATATACTAATATCCCTTAATTGATGATATCTTGTTATTCTCACGGGTCTCATAAATTTGTAGTTTTTTCTGAAAAAGAGATGCACCCAAAGCCAAGCCTGTCTCTTCAAGGGTACATATATCTGTTTCCTCAAGGAAACATGCGCAGAGAAAGAGCTTGTAAAGAGTCTATTTATCTAAACTGAACGAATAAGAGTCAATCCTTTTCCACTTCAAAAGAACAGGGAGAAAAAATGGAAGATCATTTAGTTAAGGAAGAAAAGGACCTCACACAATCATACTGTTTCACATTCCGCAAAATACAATGGTGCTCCCAATCCTAAGCATGGTCTTCCTAAACTGGTAACTTACCGTGAACACATGCTTTAAACATTGAATATCTTAAAGGAGTCTACCACAGTGTATAATCGCTCTTTCATCTTATCCCATCTTCTTTCATTGGCTCCGGTTGTCAAAGTAAAGAACTTACCTGACATGAAGACGCAATGGATTAGTCTAAAATAACGGAAACTCAATCGAATCATAATGCAGTGAGCACATTGATCATTTAGAGGGGAAAAACAGCATAAGCTGAGAAAACATAGATAAGAACAGATGTACAGAAAACAGTATAAGCTGAGAAAACACAAAATAGAAACTGCTGCCACTAAGCTTGAGGACTATTTGGATGATTACCCGCAAAACTTAAGAAACTGCTTTGAGATGGCAAGAACAGAGTTTCTGCTAAGAACTTCAAATGATACGGTAGAACACTGCCACAAGGAATGGAGGGTGTTCACTTTGCAGTGACTATTTACATATAACCAGCAAGTTTCATGCGAATGGAAATGCATAAACTCCCTTTTCAACAGGATATATGGTGGTGCAAAAAACAAAGTTAATCTACCATTCTTATGAAATATTCACATATCATGATTAGTGTCATACCATTTCCAATGGAAACAGTGCTAAGAGCATGCCGAGTATAGTTTGGGGCCTGGGCAACAAACTCAAATGTGTAATAAGCTTTGCCATCAACATCATGCTGCACCAAACATAGAAAAGCTCACAAATCAATCTACACTGTCTAATATCAACTCAGAATGGGACAAACGAGAATGTGCTTCACATAAAACAGGAAGAGCATGGCCAACAGCAACAATTGAACAGTCAACATGTAAAACACTATTCATATTTCCATGTTTTACACATTTTTGAACTGTAGGTAGGAATAAGAAAGCTCAATTTTCTCAGTTTCCCACTTCTATCATCTATAGTTGCATCCATAGATGTTAGTTTGTTGATATGTTTATCTGTATAAGTTTTAAGACCATTACAAAGGAAACATAACCAAATTGGGCAGAAAAAGGGAAGCATAACGAAGAACCAACCAAACCCAAGGTTCAAATCTCAGTTTGAAAACCAACACGACCTATTTGTCAGAGCAAGTAAGCAACAAAACCTGCTTTGCACTCCTACAATAAATTTTTTGGAAACATACCTCAGAGGCCTTAATTAGCTTTGTTTTCTGGGAAGGAGGGGCCAAAACCTTCTTGATTAAAGTTTCAGCAACCTGTGTTCATTTAAAAATTATTAATAGCGCTTTCTTATGTAGAAAAGACTCAAACTGAAGAATGAACACCTCTATATCTCATTCTCATATGATTAAAAGATGCTGGCACTAAGGAAATCAATTTAAACCTGTTCAGGGGACCCAAAGTCTCGAATATCCTGTTTGCCTGTTGGTAGTGCATTTACGCTAACGCTTTCTAAAGGCTCAATGACATCTTTGAATACCTTGTCTTGACCTTCGATGACTACTTCCTGACAGCTTGCAAGAGGGGAAAACCATTATAGAAATGTGGTCTACAATTAATCATAAGAGAAAATTTCAAAAAGAAAAAAATTATACCAAAAACAATAGCAGCACAAAATGTGTACCTGCCACCCAAATGGATAGAGAAAAGAATATCCATCTTTCTTGTCCGCGACTGCCAGAAATCCCTTTTTATTTTCTGCAGCAACTGAACCACATCAAAGGTGTCCTCTTAGGATATCAGCAGAAATTATTCAAAGAACCAATTCACATAATTATCAGCTGCTTCTTGAGAAGGAAAGAACAACAAGATATAGCAAGTAGTTGGACAAGCAAAAGCAAGAAGTAATTTTCTCTGCATAGGAGAAATGCTCATGCTTACATGAGGCAGGAGTTTGGTTAACCATTGAAACTAAAGGAGCAGTGATCCCAGCGGCAATCATTTGGCGTCTCCTGCAATAATCTGGAAAAGAATGGAGTACAGTTTAAATGAAGATCAAAACTGGTATATTATGCTCATGTCTTAGATCACAGTTCACATATCAAAAATCAAGGCAAAGAACATAATCAATTTGGTAAGGATGCTTGTATGGAAACAAGTTTAATCAAACAGCTGATAATCTTTCTGTCATGCTGGAAGAATGTGTAGCACTTTGGAATTTTCAAGGACTTAATTACAAGAAAACAACATAAAGTTGGACTAAAACCTAGAGAGACTGGACTTGAACCCCGGACCTAAAAGCTTCAGAGCATCTACCTTTGAGCCAAGGATTCCTTGGCATTATACCTAAAGTTCTAATATCTGATTACAGGGTCAATTGGACATCACCATGAGCTCCATTATCAAACACATTATACAAAACTGGCACTTTCAGAAAATTGTCTTTTCAAAGTTTGCAAATTAACTTGGAGTTTAACAGAATCAACATAAAGCCATATATACGCCCTTGCTGACTAAATAAGCAAATTTGTAAAGAGCAACTTAGCTCCCATGATTATCCTTCTAATAACTAAGAATATCTTCCATTTCTCTATATTAAAAGTATTCCAGACAAAGTGATGCTCTTTTTTTCCATTTTTTGCAAGAGCAATAAACATTTCAGTGATAAATCACTTATTCCATATGGTTTCTGGAGAACTCTTCAAGGAAAAGAAACATAATCTAAAATAAAACACCCAGAAACACCTTTAGCATGAGTCAGCATTATCACTCTTTTTGCAACAACATTGAATTACAACATAAAAATTGAGATACCTAGAAACAAGAAACAAAGGCAAACTAACAAAAATTCACCTTGAAAATGAGAAGTGGAGGCTGATGAGAATGATTGCTCAGCCCGCACAATAGATGAAATACCTCTCCTACAGCAAGGAAAAGTATCATGCTTTCTTATCCCCATCTGTTCATAAAACCACTTCCAACTTCATAACCAGATTACAAAGGACAAAACCAACAAACATACTCAGTAACATAACATCAACATACACATAGTTGAGAAAGAACCTGAGGGAAAGTTTTGAGGAACAATGTACGATGAAGTGAGGGTGAGTTCTGCAGTGACACCATTGATTGTAATCAGTTCATTAACAGTAGAGGGATATTGCTTGCTGATGGAAGAGAGGGGGGAGAGGAAGGAGCAGATATTGCTTTGTGGTAAAGGGATTCTCCATGTCACCTATCATTATCTGTCTTGTGTTTATTATTATCCGTTGGGAAATGCCCATGGGCCTTTGCTTGCTGGCCTGTTACTGTGTGACGACACCAAACCAGGCTGCATGTATAGACCATGGACCTTTGTTATGGGCTTGGGTTTTTTTTAAAAAAAATATATTTTATTTTTATTTTTGTTTTTGTAAACTAAGGCATTTACTAATTTAATTCCTGAGCATTATCAACGACAGTTAAAACTGTTTCCTAACATCCGCATTTTCGACATAAAAAATCACAATGAAAGCTCCGAGCTCATGTGCTCCAATCTGTCCACTAATGTCTTTATTTTTTTTGGCTTTTGGTAGACCATCCACCATGGTAATATACAACAATCTTTAGAACCCTAAAATGATTATCACCATGATCATGAAATATGAAATGATATTACTTTTTCCTCACAAATTTTATCCAAATACTTTATTTTAGTAGGAAAAAAAAAAACTTTAAAAGGTGATGTGAAAAAATAAACTATATATATAAGAGAAAAATAAAGATCAAAACCTTTTAAATATTTTATTTTTTATATTAAAATATATAATAAAAAATAATTATTTTTTATCTTCAATGGTGAATAAAAATTACTATTTACTCCAATAATAAAATCATTAATTTAACTAAATAACTAAATAAAAATAAGTATTTTCAATTCTTAATATTATACTTTTAAAAAAATTAAATTACCTCACCTACATTTCTTGTAATTCAAACTTAAAAATCTTTCCTTTCATGAAAAATATATCCTCATTGAAATTATTTAAGTCGAGTAGTCGAGAGTTAAAATGTTAAAACTGTAATTTCACAAACCTTTATAATTTCCTTTCATTGTTATTACTGGAAATTAAATTATTCTTTATTTTCCACCATCCCTGCATAGAAACAGAGCAAAAGCACTGGCACAATGGGAAAAGCTCACTCGCCCTCACAATGATGTCTGCTGCTGCTGCTGCTCCCCACAGTCTCCACGGCCATGGGCTCAACCCAATTATTATATATTTTTTCTCCCTCGAGCAAACCTAATCTCACCTAACAGTTCAGTAATACCCCACGTGTCACCTATTAAATAATCCCACATAGGACTAATACAGCTCTTATTACACACACCTTAACACAGATCTCTGTTCACTGAAGTTGTAACTCATCATCGCCTTTGCCTTCGCCTTCGCGGGGACTTTATCGTTAACAGGAACAAGAAGACATCAACGGAAAAAATGAAAAACATCATGTTACCGCCGGTGACCAGATGTTTCCACTCTCTCTGTCTCCGCCTTCTTTGATCCGGTATCGCCCGCCCACGCCCACCTCTCCCAACTCGATCAAAGAAAGTACTGAGCACGGCAAACGGAGGTGGAGGAAGAAGAAGAGGAAGAAGAAGAAGGAATCGTGAAGAAGATACGTAACGGATTCTTTGATTCAGTTGTTGTTTAGATTTCCTTCTAAATTTAGCAGATCCGTGTGATTTCTACTTAACTTAGAGGGGTGAGGTAAGTTAGGGTTTTGATAGAGGGAGGTGTTTGAAGATGATGATATCGAGGGGGTTGTTCGGGTGGTCACCACCGCATATACAGCCCTTGACGCCGGTTTCGGAGGTGTCAGAGCCACCTGAGTCGCCATCGCCGTATCTGGACACAACTGCGGAGGGGGCTGCTGCGGCTGCAGCAGCACAGGCGGAGGATGAGGAGGAGATCGAGGAGGTTGAGGAGATCGAACCTCCACCTGCTGCTGTGCCATTTTCGCGGTTATTTGCATGTGCTGACCGACTCGACTGGACGCTCATGATCGTTGGTTCGCTTGCTGCAGCAGCTCATGGCACGGCTCTAGTTGTTTACTTGCATTACTTCGCGAAGATTGTCCAGGTTATGGGTATCCGGCACGGGAAGGGTCCGCCTGACCAGTCGTTGGAGGTGCAGGTCGAGAGATTCAAAGAGGTTAGTGGTTTTTTTTTTTTTTTTTTTTTTTTGAGCTTTTGAAACTATATAATATTGGGATTTTGATTGAGGTTTTCCACTTAGAGTGAATTGACACCATATGGACTTGAGCTTGGAGCTGATAGTTGAGAACCAGGTTTCCCAGTCTTTCACCTTTACAAAACCACTAATTTCGAATTTTACTGGCCTAGTTGGGTGATATTATCCATTGATGATGTTTATATAAGTGAACTCTAAATGTCGGAGTAAAAATAGAAATTGTTGTAAATGGACAATTATATGTTCATATTTGGTAACAGTTTGATATTCCTTTATAAATGGAAAGAAACTGATGCAACATAAGATGGTAACATCTGTTAGGCTGATTTTGTCTAGTTTAGGTAATTTCAGATTTTTATTACTTTTCAAGCCTAAATTAACATTTATGGATAAAATTTTAGGTTTTTCCCCTTTGGATATTAGTTAGGTCACATAATGTACAGGCATTGAGTAGCTTCAAGGGACATGCATGCTTTAGGTTGATCCTCAAGGAAACTGCAAATAAATTTATTCAGTTTTCAAAATCGGGATATTGTTGGATGTACCTTAGGGTATCTTGAATAGTATGAACTTATTTTTGTTAGTTGATTTTTTCTTTTGGTGCAGCTTGCTTCATCCATTGTTTACATTGCTGTGGGTGTTTTTGTTGCTGGCTGGATTGGTAAGTTAATCTTGAAATTAGTTATTGCTCCATTTCTATTATGTCTAATGGATACTTCTTTAGTCACTGCCACTAACTTGTTCTGTGTAACAGAGGTATCATGCTGGATTCTGACTGGAGAGCGGCAAACTGCTGTCATCAGGTCAAAATATGTTCAAGTATTGCTGAACCAAGATATGAGCTTTTTTGATACTTATGGGAATAATGGGGACATTGTGAGCCAAGTATTGAGTGATGTGCTGCTCATTCAATCTGCTCTTAGTGAAAAAGTATGTTCAGTCATATGTTGCTTCACAAGTGGGTTTCCCCCTTTTTGCAGTAATTAATTGCTTCTCTTGAGATTTTCCTGGAGATATCTGGTCTAATCTTCTTTTGGCTTTTGATGATACAGGTTGGAAATTACATTCATAATATGGCTACATTTTTCAGTGGTCTTGCTATTGGCTTTGTCAACTGTTGGCAAGTTGCTCTCATAACGCTGGCCACCGGTCCATTCATTGTTGCTGCAGGAGGCATATCCAACATATTTCTTCACAGGCTTGCTGAGAATATTCAAGATGCATATGCTGAAGCAGCTAGTATTGCTGAACAGGTTCTTCCTTCTTCCCCATATTATCTATCTCTCACGCTTTTTCTCCTCTTTTCAACAGCTGAGTTTTGTTATATAAAATTATCCTTATTTTATGATTCATGCCAAGACTTTTGAGTTTGTATTATGTTTTTTTCCCCTAATAATTGAAGGATTTACATTGTCTGGTGTTTGCCTACTTAGCATTCTTTTAAAAGTATTTGGCTAACTGTGAGGTTTTATTGCCAGTTGGCATTGTTGGCATTCTATGTAGCATTTTGACGTGGCTAGTATTCTCAGAGCATCTTTTGCTAGAGCCTTATATGTGCATGGTTTCTTATTTTATGCAGGCTGTCTCTTACGTTAGGACTTTATATGCATTTACAAATGAAACTTTGGCCAAATATTCATATGCAACCTCACTACAAGCAACTCTGAGATATGGCATATTGATCAGTCTTGTTCAAGGTCTTGGGCTTGGATTTACATATGGGCTTGCAATTTGTTCTTGCGCGCTACAACTTTGGGTTGGAACGTTCTTAGTTACAAAGGGCAAGGCTCATGGTGGTGAAATTATAACAGCTCTCTTTGCTGTAATTTTAAGTGGGCTGTAAGCAGCAATTTCTTCGTTTCTCTCTTTCTTTCTTTCTTTTTTCTTTTTTTTTTTTCTTTTCCATTGCAACTCTTTCTTTCTGCTTACTTCTTGTTAAGTTACTGCCCTCCCTTTTTTTGTGTAGAGGGCTGAATCAAGCAGCGACAAATTTCTATTCCTTTGATCAAGGACGCATTGCAGCTTATAGACTTTTTGAGATGATAAGCCGGTCATCTTCTGTGGCAAATCAGGAGGGAGGCACCCTGACCTCTGTTCAAGGAAATATCGAGTTCCGGAATGTGTATTTTAGCTATCTGTCCCGGCCAGAAATCCCTATTCTCAGTGGTTTTTACCTAACTGTGCCTGCCAAAAAGGCAGTGGCCCTTGTTGGTAGAAATGGTTCTGGGAAAAGTAGTATTATCCCACTAATGGAACGGTTTTATGATCCTACATTAGGTAATAATAATATGATTGTGTATTGTTGAAGCTCATTGCATTTACTGTAGCAGTTAAGTTTTCTGGTAATTGTGGCAAATGTTTATCCTTGTCATTATGCCAGCTTGCAAATTCCCACATTTCCCCCCATTTCTATGTTGCAGGAGAAGTTCTTTTAGATGGAGAGAATATTAAAAACCTAAAACTGGAGTGGCTGAGAAGTCAAATAGGACTGGTTACCCAGGAACCTGCGCTACTAAGTTTGAGCATAAAAGATAATATTGCTTATGGCAGGGATTCTACAATGGATCAAATTGAAGAGGCTGCAAAAATAGCACATGCACATACATTTATCAGCTCGCTTGAAAAGGGATATGAGACACAGGTGAAATTTGGGAGCACAAGACATATTAAAATGTCCCATTTCATTTCTTTCTTCTTTTTCCTAAATTAAATTCTATGCATATCAGGTTGGAAGGGCTGGTTTAGTGTTGACTGAGGAACATAAAATAAAACTGTCTATTGCCAGAGCAGTGCTCTTGAATCCAACAATCCTTTTGCTTGATGAGGTTACTGGTGGACTTGATTTTGAAGCTGAAAAAACTGTTCAGGAAGCTCTAGATTTGCTCATGTTGGGACGCTCAACCATAATAATAGCTCGACGGCTTGGTCTTATTAGAAATGCTGATTACATAGCTGTGATGGAGGAGGGTCAGCTTGTTGAAATGGGGACACACGATGAATTATTAAACCTTGATGGCTTGTATGCAGAGCTTCTCAAGTGTGAAGAAGCAGCAAAACTTCCAAGGAGGTAACTAGAACTAAATATGCTATTTGCTGGTAGGCTAAAAGCTGAAGTGTCATGTTTGAAAGTCTATTTCCTGTCAGAATAGTCGTTTTGATAGAATGTAAATGCATTTCACTTTTTCTACATGTTATTTGTGTCATGTGTCTTCATCTAGGATACCAATCAGGAATTACAGGGAGACTTTCCAAATTGAAAAGGATTCTTCTTCAGTTAACAGCTTCCAAGAACCATCATCTCCTAAATTGGTTAAATCACCCTCTCTTCAGAGAGTTCCTGCTGTATTTCGCCCACAGGATGGTATTTATAATTCTCAAGATTCACCAAAAGCTCATAGTCCACCGCCAGAGAAAATGCTAGAAAATGGCTTACCTACTGATGCCAGTGATAAGGAACCATCAATTAGAAGGCAAGACAGTTTTGAAATGAGACTTCCAGAATTACCCAAGATTGATGTTCAATCCATCCAACGGCAGAAATCTAATGGTTCAGACCCAGAATCCCCTGTATCACCCCTCTTAACTTCTGACCCTAAAAATGAACGTTCCCATTCTCAGACTTTTAGTCGGCCTCACAGTCACTCCGATGATGTACCAGTGAAAGTTAAGGAAGCCAAAGATACCCACCAGGAGGCTCCATCATTCTGCAGATTGGCACAGCTTAGTTTTGCAGAATGGCTTTATGCTGTGTTGGGTAGCATTGGTGCTGCTATATTTGGCTCTTTCAATCCCCTTCTTGCTTATGTTATTGCTCTAATTGTAACAGCATATTATAGCCCTATGGGTGATGAGCATCACGGTCGTTTACATCATGAGGTAGACAAATGGTGCTTGACCATTGCCTGTATGGGCATAGTGACTGTTGTTGCCAATTTTTTGCAACACTTCTACTTTGGTATTATGGGAGAGAAGATGACTGAGCGTGTACGCAGAATGATGTTTTCAGGTGCTTGAATCCATTTTAAAGTGAAATAGTGAATTTTCCATTTTTTTCTCTTTTTTTTGGAACAGAATATATTAATGCAATAAAGAAAAAGGAATGTGATTAGCCTTTTCACTGCTATTATTTCACAGCAATGCTGCGCAATGAAGTTGGGTGGTTTGATGAGGAAGAAAATAGTGCTGACACATTATCCATGAGATTGGCAAATGATGCTACATTTGTGCGGGCTGCTTTTAGTAACCGACTTTCAATATTTATACAGGACAGTGCTGCTGTTATTGTTGCAGTCCTTATTGGGATGTTGCTACAGTGGCGATTGGCACTTGTGGCATTGGCAACCCTGCCTGTTCTCATTGTTTCTGCCATTGCACAGGTTTGCACTTTCTGTTTGATTTCTGAAGTTAATTTTGTTTATACATGGTATTCAATTGATATTTAGGAGTTTTCAGGGTTTTGAAAATTATTTTGAGCCTTTCACTCATTAGTTGCAGATTTAATATTGCAGAAATTATGGCTTGCTGGATTTTCGAGGGGCATTCAGGAGATGCATAGGAAAGCATCATTGGTCCTTGAGGACGCAGTTAGAAACATTTACACTGTTGTGGCATTTTGTGCCGGTAACAAGGTGATGGAGCTCTATAGACTGCAGCTGAAGAAAATATTGAAGCAGAGTTTCTTTCATGGAATGGCAATTGGGTTTGCTTTTGGCTTTTCGCAGTTTCTTCTTTTTGCATGTAATGCTCTTCTACTTTGGTACACTGCAACATCTGTTAAAAATCACTACGTGGATCTGCCTACAGCCCTCAAGGAGTATATGGTTTTCTCTTTTGCAACTTTTGCACTTGTGGAGCCATTTGGATTGGCTCCATACATTCTTAAACGACGGAAATCTCTCACTTCAGTATTTGAAATCATAGATCGGGTGCCTAAGATTGACCCAGATGATAACTCAGCGTTGAAGCCACCCAATGTCTATGGAAGCATTGAGTTGAAAAATGTAGATTTCTGCTATCCAACACGCCCAGAAGTGTTGGTATTGAGCAATTTCAGTCTTAAAGTAAATGGGGGACAAACTGTTGCAGTGGTGGGAGTTTCAGGATCTGGGAAAAGCACTATAATATCTTTAATTGAGAGATTCTATGATCCAGTTGCTGGTCAGGTTCTACTAGATGGGCGAGACCTAAAACTCTATAATTTGAGGTGGTTAAGGAGCCACTTAGGTCTTGTTCAGCAAGAACCCATTATTTTTTCAACAACTATCAGAGAAAATATTATATACGCAAGGCACAATGCTAGTGAAGCAGAGATAAAAGAGGCTGCAAGAATAGCCAATGCTCACCATTTCATCAGCAACTTGCCTCATGGTTATGACACACATGTGGGGATGAGGGGTGTGGACTTAACTCCAGGACAGAAACAGAGAATTGCTATTGCTCGAGTTGTTCTGAAGAATGCTCCTATCTTGTTATTGGATGAAGCTAGCTCATCCATTGAATCAGAGTCAAGCCGAGTGGTGCAGGAAGCTCTTGATACACTAATAATGGGGAACAAAACAACCATTCTGATAGCCCATAGAGCTGCAATGATGAGGCATGTTGACAACATTGTAGTACTTAATGGTGGTCGAATTGTCGAGGAAGGGACTCATGATGCCTTAGTGGCAAAGAATGGGTTGTATGTCCGATTGATGCAACCACACTTTGCAAAAGGTTTGCGTCAGCATCGACTGGTTTAGATTGGATGTGTATTGGTTGTAACATTGGTTCTGTATAGTTTTCATTCTCCTCATTTTGAATCCCTGGAGGAAATATTGACATCCATTGGCTTTCCTCGGATATCTATCAGAATTTCCAGACCTGGAAATTACAAATGAGAATGATGCGGCTTGTAGGCTTGTAATGATGTGTATACGGATGGACAGATCAAACAGCAAGTGAGAATGGTGAGGTTTGTAACGATATCTACACTGTTAAGGTGGGTGCTTATAGCAGCGGTTGTAGTTACACTGTTTAAAAAAGTAGGCCGTAGAAGTAGAGATTTTGAGTTTGGTTACTCGTGGGGTGATAGATGCATATTCTTTTCGGAGGCAAAGAATCCTAACTTGGGTTCGTGCTCTGTCTTCATAGTATATTGATTTTGGTTTATTAATTATAGAACTGGTTAACTGTAATTTTTGTCCTACTAAGGTGTGTTTTTGGGATCTTTCATTTTTCTCCCCCTTTTTTTAAGAATTTTGAACCCCCATAATTTCTATGACTGGATCCACGTGTTTGGATGTATATATCATCTTTTTGAGTAAAGCTTTGGAAATTAGAAGAGCAAAAGGTGATTTTGCAATTTCTGCAGGTAATCATGTAGGTAAAGTCCGCATCCTATTTGCATGTCCTTCCTCCATTGCTGAAACTATGTTCACATTTTTAAATAAGAAAAATCAAAAATTTATCATTATATTTAAAAATGGATAAATTTTATATTCTAAAAAAAAATTGCAAAAATTATATTTTTATTCGCACCATTTTTCCCTTGAATTCAAATTTACAGGAAATGGTGGTCACCGAGAAGATAAATATAAATCACGTGAAGAAAAATGCTATCGACTAGGAACAGGTAAACTGGAAAACTTTGCCATCAGCTGTATTCAATCAAGGTATCACAACAATTCTCTCTTCAGAAGGTACCCGTTGCCCGGCATTGTAAAACAGAAACAGCAGATCAAATATCAAGCACCCTGAAAGAGTCTGCCACCACTTTCAGCGTGTTCCGAACTCTCCTCCACCGCCTTTCATTGGCCCCAACAATCAGGGTGTAATATCTCCCTAATGAAAAATGAAAACTCATTTAGCAGCATCAAATACGTAAGAGTTGAGCATTGATACATTATGGCTAGTTTAACTTCGATCAAAGACTCTGAAATACTCTGACTCACCGTTTGCAATGGCTATGGTTGCAAAGGAAGTGCTGGCGTAGTTGGGAGAGGTAAGTCCGTACTCAAAAGTGTAATAGTTCTTCCCCTCTATCGTTTTCTGCACTCAGTAAACCCAGGTCCCAGATAGTTTTTCGACTAACCAAACCAAAAATAAGGCAACTTATGTCTTCTGGGAATTTCAAAGATATACAGAAAGATTTCAATTCACAGTAAACTTGAGCATTGAATACCAACCTCTTGCATATCAATTATATTGGGAACTTGGTTTGGCGCAGCATACACATGTTTCACCAAATTGGTAATAACCTGCAACATGAAAGAAACGTGTGCTTTTTGAAGGAAGATTTCTTTCTTTACAACACCTTGAGAATGAGAAAGAAGTTTGATTCCTTACCTCTTCCATTGGGCCCAAATCATGGATGTCTTTCTTCTCAGTTGGTATGAATCTCACCCTAACATTCTGAAGTTGCAGATACCTGTCCTTAAATGCAGAATCATGCCCTCTGTAGTCAAATTCCTAAACAAGGAAAACTCATCATTTCACAACAGTTTTTCCAAGTTCATTAATACACTTTTCACATTGAGGTGTAGCTCATGCTCACCCTCCAATCTGAGGGGTAATAGTAAGAATATCCATCTGGAATGTCAACAAAAGCACTGTAATTCCTCGGTATCTCTGTAAAGCGACAAAAGCAAGATTTGATATGGTTTATCAAAAGGGTTATGAATTAACCTAACAGTCTCCAATCATCCTATTATGGAGACAGAAAATTTCCAGCTTTATGATACCTTGAGCAAGAAGGGAACTTGCAGGGAATAAACTTGCGGTCAGTGCTCCAACTCCCAACACTAGCAGTCTTCTCTTGCAATTGCCTAAAGTTTCCATGCATTGCAGCAAAAATGAAAGAACCAGACAGAAAAAGGAGCAAAGTAAGTTGAAAATCAACTCAACGAATCTGGGTATATCACCTGTTTGATGATTGTCCTCAAACAGAAACAGTATAACAAGTGAAATTAAAGAAAAAAGTTGAGAAGCTGAAATGGGTATCTTACTTTCTTCAGTAAAAGAGGTCTCTTTACTACAGTCGACAGTATTATGCAAAGAAAACGAAGTAGCTCGATTCATCAACTCATTCGTATGAGGCACATTCAGCTGAAAATGGAAACAATTCAAGAGAAGAACCGGGTAACCAATCAAGCAGAGAACACCCATAGAAAGGAAAAAAAAAACACAGACCTTCTTGGTTAGGGTAGGTGGAGCCAAATTCAAGGAGACTGAAGACATCGCCATGTTTAGAGCTGCAGTTTTAGCTTCAGCGATGCTCATGGTGAACTGGGGACTCTTTCCCACTCTTTGGAGCACAAAAAAGTTAAAACTGGATAACGCACGTGTCACGCACGTGTCATTATTGAATTCACAATGGGCCTGGCCCAAAAAAAATCGACTCCAAGTCTCCAATTGGAACTCAAATGGAGGAAAGAGTATAAAAGCTGAAGAAGGTGAGGAATTTGCAGATGGCAGAAACAGTGAGGGAAGCCATAGCCAAGGGATGGAACCTCTGAAGCAAAATCTTGATTTCGAAATTTGGCTTCGGCGATCATAGCGAGAAACCGAAAATCAGTGTTCAACCTTCGCCGGCTCCTTCCCCTAGACTCGGGGCCGTTTCGTCTTCTTCCTCGCATGTATGAGTTAGGTCGGCGGTTAAGAAAGAACAGAAGCAGCGCGAACGCGAAGAATCACTGACAGGCTTTATACCGAAGGAGAAATGCAATATTGGAGCTGAGTGATCGTGGCGCGCCCTACTTTCGCGAGCGCCGACAGGGCCGACCAGAGCGGTTTTATTGGACCTTTGAACGCCACAAGGGGCCAGTGGATGCGGTGGATTTGTTGGTTGGTATTGAAAAAGCAACGTCGGAAAAAGTTTTTGAGATTATGAAGCCAAGGGAGGAGAATCTTAGGTTTGCAGATGTCTCCAATCATCTTTTTAGGCTTCGGATAATGTTTCGCACAGAAAGATGGCTTGACTCTACTCTTCAGCTACCATTGCCTGTATCAAGGAGCTCCCCTCGTGTGTCAGAATCGGGTACTTTTAGTTCCTTGTTAGATGATTTGAAGGAGATGAAATTAGAACCAAAAGATAATTAGGATTTGCGATTCTGCAAAAGACATGATATATTTTTTTTTTGGTGAAACAAAAGACATGATATATGATATTTGCAGTTTCTTCTTCTGTTCTATATTTGCATATCTATTGCTGGATTCTTTTAAACCCAAGTATCTTTTGGTAATTTTGTGAATGATTTCCCTAATCACCAGGTTTAGATGAATTGGGTGGTTGTTTTTTATAATGCATTGTTAAGATATGATATTACTTGTTAGCTTCAATTGTTGAACCAAATGCATTTAGTTGTCATATCTAACTATGTGCGTTTGCCAATGCATGGCCATGTTGTAATGTGTGTGCTATCTGCATTGGTTATATAAATTAGAGATGGTTATGCTTTCGTGTTCTTGTCATATATTGCTTCACTTGGTGGTATTTGTTCTCCAAGGGGTATGATGTTGGGGCAAGGCCGGGATCTAGATGCCAGAATTCTCTTACATTTTCATAATTGGAATGATCTTTGCAGCATGTGATTATGAGTGTAAATTAAAATGTAAGGCAGACTTGTGAGGTGGCTCAGATTAGGCATGTGATGAACAGGTTCTAACTGGCTTAATAGCTATAAACAAATGCAAATTTAAGTTAGTTGGGCACAATGCACACAATATCACAAGCACTTTAGTCAAATTTCTTATAGTTGCTTCAAAACTGCAAAGGTTAAATCTACCATGAAGCTCATACTAGAGGTAGTTGGTTGGCAGGTAATCATCTGGTTGCTTAAGAGGAAGAATGTGTTTTAGTCATCGTCACCAGGGCCTGCAAATATTTTATATTTTTATTCTCATGTTCGTTAGTCCTTACCATTATTTTCATGTTCCTTTTTCCTTACATTAAATATAGGAAAAATATTTAAACAAAGAGTAAAATCGCTTAACCCCATTTTTATACTTTTTATATTCAATGCAATATGCGAGTCTGTGCAATGGTTAAAAAAAATATGTAAAGTGCACAGTCACAGACCAAATTTAGGGAATGCCAGCATCCTAATTATCAATGGCATTCCTCAAGTAGACTGCATACATAATCAGGTATGCCTTCTCTCATTGAACATTTTTCCAAACTTTGGTCTTAGTAAGAGATGCAGAAGTGGTGACAGAGTGAAGATGACAACAAAAGGTTGTTATAGTTTGCCTTGTGTGTTTTCACTTTTCAGTGCGAAGTTCAAGAAAAGGAGGAAACAAATGGAAGATTCGACTGTCCTATCCTTGGTTTATCTTCTGCTTGTTTTATTTTCTCAATCCATTTTCAGTGTTTCCCCATTCCGCTGGATGGGTTTTTCCCTGACTGTGGGGGAAGTAACTCAACAAAACTTGATGACTCTTGGGTTTTTAAACCTGACACTGTTATTCCAGATGTAAGATGTTCTCTTCTTGACATCCTTCCAATAGCCCAACTCTATGATTCTGTTATGAGTATTGTAAGATTGCTCCCTTCTGGAAAAACATATATGGACCCTGTTAAGGCCCACTTCAGCCTAAAACAAAATCCCACGGCCTATCAATGAACTCGCGCACGTTTGATAATGGTTGGTTCTCAACCGCTCATCTTGCATAGATACGTGATATAAATGAATCACACATCACACAATCTCCGCTCGAGACCCAACACGTCATTAGGTCGGCGATCCGAACTCTTCTCCTCGCCAATATTACGGTCCCACCACACACGTGGCATCTCAAGAACAATCTACTTGTCCCTTTCATAACCTGTACTTCACCGACATTTGGCACAATTTTAAAAAGGAAAAAGGCACCAGCTTTTACCGGTTCGTTAGCCGTTATTTCAGGTATGTAAGCCAAACTCTCACTGAACACAAAGCAATACAGAACAGAGCAACAGTTTTGGGAAAAAAAAGAGCGAGTTAGTTCTCTAAAGAATATCTCTAAATTCAAGAAAATGCCGATTTCAAGGATTGCAGTTGGAAGGCCAGTTGAGGTGAGCCAGCCGGACGTACTCAGAGCGGCTCTTGCAGAGTTCTTCTCTATGCTAATCTTTGTCTTTGCCGGTGAAGGGTCTGGGATGGCTTTCAGTAAGACTTCAATTCTCATATTCTGAATTCGTATAGGACCCTCAATGTATTTTTTCAGGAAACAAACAGCAAACTGCGTCTTCTGATTGATGAGTTGGATTTTCTTTGCAGACAAGTTAACTGATAATGGGTCAGCAACACCGACAGGCCTTGTGGCTGCATCATTGGCTCATGCATTTGCACTGTTTGTAGCGGTTTCTGTAGGGGCTAACATTTCTGGGGGCCACGTGAACCCTGCCGTGACCTTTGGTGCATTTATTGGTGGCAATATTACCTTGCTGAGGGGCATCTTCTATTGGATTGCACAATTGCTTGGATCAGTTGTGGCTTGTTGGCTTCTTAAATTCGCAACGGGTGGACAAGTAAGTGATTCCTGAAAATGCCTAATTATGTTGCAGCCTTGTGTGTCATAGACGTTGACATTTCTATGTTTCAATTGATTAATTTTGCAGGAAACATCAGCATTTTCCCTATCCTCTAATGTATCTGTATGGAATGCACTTCTGTTGGAGATTGTGATGACCTTTGGCCTGGTCTACACAGTGTATGCCACAGCAGTTGATCCAAAGAAGGGAAATGTTGGCATTGTTGCACCCATTGCAATTGGTTTCATAGTGGGTGCTAACATATTGGCTGGTGGTGCTTTTGATGGTGCCTCCATGAACCCGGCTGTGTCATTTGGTCCTGCTGTGGTTAGCTGGTCATGGACTCACCACTGGGTCTACTGGGCTGGTCCATTTATTGGTGCTGCCATTGCAGCCATTGTTTATGACAAACTTTTCATTGTAGGTGTAGGTGCTCATGAGCCACTTTCTACCAATGATTTTTAGGATTTTCTCTTCTTTGAATCCCTTGTCAAGATTAAACTTTCTCTTTCTACCTATGATTTGTGGAGAGAATAAAGTGTGAGGCAAAGAAAATGCAGTTGTCCTTATGGTAGAAGAACTAGGGATCGATTGAATTTGGATTTTGATTTCCTTAATTTTCTTAATCGCTTACTTGTTTGTACTTTTGTTTGCAGTTAAATAATCTTTATTTTTTATGGCTTCAATTAAGTCGATGGTTGGTCTTTTAGGAGTGGGAACAGACTTCCTAACTCCATATCAGAATACAGAAATGGTTGAAACATACCTTCAATACCTTCATCTAGACAGATCTATATAAAGAGAACTCCAATTTTAGTCTTATTTCTTGCCATGTCTTAACTAAAAGAAACAAAGACAAATCTAACCTTAAAGATTTATGTTTGCAACGTCAAATGTTTCTCCAAGTAGTTGTGAGCAGGTGGAGAACCTTTAATTACTATAGAGGAAAACGTTCTTGTCTAAGAGTACTGATACCATAAAACGGTTGAATTCACTTGAATCATGGAGTCAAATATGTAAGAGACGGTAATACTTTTGCATTTTATGTGTTGGAGCTGTGGTGTAAGAGCTGCAAGACAATGGCAGTAAAAGCAAAAATGAGAGCTGCAGCGGCGGCAGCATGGAGCCCCACAAACTTCTACATCAAAGTTAATGTGTTAGGTAGAAGTTATTGTATTAGCTGGAAGTTAGTTGTTTGGTAGAAATTACTGATAATGTATTATGAGATTTCTGCTGGCAGAAATTGAATGAAGAAAATTTTCAAGTACTGTTAAAAAAAAAAAAGGAAAGAAAGGAAAGATGAATGAGGAAAATGAGTTCTGACCTCACAAAAAAAGGTAATTCCAGGTGTCTCTCCCTATCCCAAAAAAAACCCCAACATTATGACTTGTCCAAGGTCTGAGGAACTTAAGACTAGAAGCCTCATTGGTAAGATAGCTGACTAAGAATCTAATCTAAGATTAACTTTTTGGTTTTGACAAATAAAGACGTGACTACAATGAAAAACCAAAGATTCAAACAAATTAAATACAAAATCATAAGCAACAGATTTTCCTCCATAAAACATGTGGATTTTTTCGATTTTTTTTAGTCTGCCATGAAACGTGCAGATTGAACCTGCAATAGATGGAGAAATGGAGTTTCTTTCCCTTGTTTAATTCAGCTCTCTATCTAGGGTTAAAACTTGAAATTAAACCATTTTCATGCTTTTATGTATTACCTACAATCATTAAGCTTCTAGCTAAAGAGACATGCTTAATTAAAAAAAGACACCTTGCAGGCACAGTCAAATAATGCAGCTAGGTTTAAACTAGGTTTAAACAACTAATAAAAAAATAGTATCTATATAAAATGAAGAACCATCACACAAGAAAGAAAGGAAGAAAATATAACCTATTGCATTTCCCTTTCTTCACTTCATTGAGATATTCATTAGCTAGAGAAAATTAGGATACAAATGCATCGATATTATAGTTATTCATTTGGATTACACAATGAAAAGAAACAGCAACATCCCTTTGTCCATCTCATCTCGATTTTGACTAATTGATTACCAAGAAGATAAAAAATGACACGGATATTTTTAGGCCTTTGGAGTATTCTGACAATGTAATGAAAATGGATTGGAAGTCAGAACGTCAATGCATGGACAAATTTCCAACAAGACAAGGAAAAAGATATGATCTGTATGATCATGTTTATTAATCTTTATTCCTATTTTTCCGTTTAACTACTGCAGCTTCAATAGAGCTACAGACTCATATGAGCATGGTTGAGGCATGACTCGTTTGTATTTTCCACTGCAGTATACTTGTAAATGTACTTTCTTTCCAGTGACTCTGGTGGAGGATCCATTGGATGGTATGAAGGAACCTTAACCAAACTCCGAAAACAAATTCCATCTGACTTTGTCAGAATCGTTGGGTCCACTGTAACAACTTCTTGTAAACGCTCAGCAAGTAAGATCTCAGCTTCCGGATTGGTAAAACCCTCCAGTTTCACCACTTTGAGCCCTGCCAATTGGTTTTGTTTGCCTACTTCGTTTGAACACCGGGCTTCATGTGGTATACTATCGCTTCTAGGATCAATCTGCACATTCAAGCAGTATATAGTGCATCAATCCATTTAGCTGAGAATCAAAATCCAAGTGTGTTTTTGTATTTAAACTTCTATGTGTTTTATGCTTACAGTTACAAACAGCCTCTCTAAGGAAGGACAGAGTTTCAGGAAGGAGATTAAAGCATCAATGTTGAATCCTTGATCTTGATTATCTATCCACCAGAGCTCTCTTAGTTTGTAGAATTGAAAGCCTGTTTTAAAAGATGAAAGTGATGGACAGATCAATGCCTGCAGGAACAACTTTTAGTTAGAACTGAATCGGGTTAATTAAGGAGGAAACAAGTTATTAGCAGCACATACCTCAAAAGTCCATCTACAAAGTGTAAGAATCTCAGAATTCTTTATGGTTAACAGGACAGGATCAAATTCAGAAACCCTGAAGCTGTCATAGTTAGGCCCTTGCCGGGAATCGAACATGGCATTTGCCAGGTTGAAATGATACTCAGGCCAAAGCCAAGGAAGCATCCCTCGGAACAAGAAAGTCCTAAGTTTGTAGCATCTAACATGGAGAGACTTCAACAGTGGACAATCAAAAATGGTTAAACTTAGAAGCTTTTTATTCGAATCAATACTCAAGGATTCCAATCCATTGCATTGAATGATTTTCAACTCCTCAAGAAACTGAAAGCTCGAAACCATAGCAGAAACTGCTTCACTGCTAAGGTGGTTTACTGATATCAGGTAAAGTGTCCTGACAAAGAAGGAAGAAGGAGTAGGCTGCAGAAGGTTTTGAGGGTTTAACCGTAGCTGCCACCCAAACCTCAGAGGAAATTCCCGGTTCCCATTAGAGAAATCCAGGTGAAGCTTATTTTTAGGTGCAATAGTGGCTGAGAGCACACTATCATTGCCAAAATGGAACTGAAGCCTTCGAGTGTTCCTGACCGGATCCTGCTCATTGAAGTTTGTCAGGAAGCCAGAAACTGCACTGACAACATCTTCTTTGGTTCCATGCTGCACTAGAGCCATGTTCCAAAGAAATCTCCATCGATTCGAAAGGAAAATTGTCTGAATTGCAGATTCGAAAGGGAGTAAAGAGATTATGTAGAAAAGAATCTCATCAGGTAACCTACTAATAAAATCACCTGCCTTTTCTTCCATCACCTGTTTCAACAAGCAACATTGTCTTGTTGAAGTTCAGATTCACCAACTGCATCTAAATTAACATTAAGAACAGAACTAAACCCATAAGAAAAGAAAAGAGGAAGGAAACTCACCCGGATTGCCCGGAAACTGACTGCTCCTGATGATCTGCTATGCAGTTTGATGCTGCCTTTAAAACTTGCTTTATCCCTGTAGACTTGTATCCTAGAGATAATAGGCTATTTACATGCTACCCTAGGATATTAAATGAATTGACTTTCTTGTAGCACTGTTAAATCCTGAAATTGCAAGAAACACTGACTTTGCTAAATGTAAAAGTGCACTTCATTGAGAAAACACTGCTGAAATTTTTTCTCATTAGGGTAAAGCAAGCAATTCCAGATTCAGGTTTGGAAATGTCAAGAAAAACGTTAAGTTACCCAACACAAAGTTTTCCAATGAACTGGAATTGGGTATTTGGGTTGCCAAAAGATTTACAATGGATGACTGTCCCACGCAAATTAAATGTTAGAGCCAAGATCCACTTATAAGAATTATTATTGTTGACTTTACAAATTCAATGGACTATATTTATTAGCATATCTGTAATACTGATATATACAATTTTAAAAAGAATGAGTTAGTCATTTTTAGATTAGAAGAGATTGCATTGTGATCTTCAGACGGATAACTGGGAAATGAACATTGTAAGAACTGAGAAAAATGCAGTTTAGAATAGAAAAATGATTTTGAGATAATTTTTTTGTATTACTTTTTAATACAATTGAATTTATCATGTAAATAAATAATTTTTTTTATTTATATGAAATTTATAATGTTAAATATAATTATTCATTTAATAATATATAAAAATTATATCAAAAAATAATATAAAAAAATTATTCATCCAACACCACCTTCTAAAATAATAATGTGACTGGCGGTGCCATAGCCCATAGGATAAAACAATTAATGACTCTCTTCGCTCAGCTCACGTGGTTGGTAGAAAGCAAAATTGAACGATGAAATTTAAAAAAATAATATATTAAATTCCGTAAAATCAGTTAATAATTAAGGTAATGGTAAGAGAGAATATTTTACATTTAAAAAATAATAAGGAACCTTTTTTTTTTTTACAAAACAATGATTAAAAATTAAAAATTAAAAATTAATATCTTATTTTTTTAATAAAGTTTTACTACTAATCAAAATGTATTTCACTAACAATCTTTTTGAACTGCAGTGA